ATGTACTAATGTACTAATGTACTAATGTACTAATGTACTAATGTACTAATGTACTAATGTACTTAAAGGGACTGTTGTTGTAATTTAAAGAGATCTTCCATAAAAAGAAGAGTATGCCTGATACACAACGGTACCTTTAAGTTTAATCTAATAAAAATGTGGAAGATTTTTTTGTTTTTCTATTTTGAAAAATTTCTACAGCTGATATCCGCGAGTCACTTTTTTAAAGAAATAATCAATTTTTAAAGTTAAAAACATTAATAATATATTCATTCTTGGTCCTACAAAGATTTGACTAGTACTGTTGTGAATCTGACATCACACTGGTTCACTTGAAATTACATATGCAGTCCCTTTAATGACATCAAGTTGTAAAGAACGATCAAATAACCCCCCGGTATACATATTGATTATAAATCAGCGTTCATTGATTGTATCTATCTATAAGATCATGTTACAACTATATTTATATATCTTTAATGAACAGATATATTGGATAAATATTAAATATTAGATATATAATATCTACATTTCTTGTTCAGACCGATAAATAAGGCTTCAAGATATTCTGGTTCCATGAGTTTTTGGCTTCAAGAGTTTCTAGCTTCAAGAGTTTCTAGCTTCAAGAGTTTCTAGCTTCAAGAGTTTCTGGTTCCAAGAGTTTCTGGTTCCAAGATATTCAGGCTTTAAGAGTTTCTGGCTTCAAGAGATTCTGGTTCCAAGAGTTTATAGCTTCAAGAGTTTCTGGCTTCAAGAGTTTCTGGCTTCAAGAGATTCTGGTTCCAAGAGTTTATAGCTTCAAGAGTTTCAAATAATTTATTATTATTTCGTTCCAATATCAAATTTAGTTTGCTAAGCATAGCTAATCATCCAAGTAATACATTTTTAAACATTAGTATTGTTAGGACAAAATAGGTATTTACATATACTTTTAGTTTCAGGTAGAAAAATATGTTAAATATGTATAAGTCTTTAGGTCGGAATATACGCTGTGTTTTTGTGTTACGAGTCAGAACTTTTGTGTTATGATTCTAGGGATCAAGCATTGATCTATTGATATTCCGAGATGGTCATACCCTGCAGGGATAACATTAATTGAGGGATTAAACATTTATCTTAAAATTTAAAAGCTCTAACTATCAAATCAAATCAAATATTTATTACATGAAGATGTTGGTAATTTCCTAGAGAATGATTTCTGGAACCCACCCCCCGGCCCCCCCCTCCTATCAATTTTGTACACGCATCTTATATTTAACACATAGATAAAGTTGGTCATTTGGCCGCATCGCTCGGCCCCCTAGCCTGTTATAGCCGCAGCGCTCGGCCCAGTAAGTGTCTTAACCCAACCTAACCCTAAATATACACTAATTTTGTTAAAAATTGTTCCAAATTGTTATGTACAAAATTAAAAGGAGGGAGAGGGGGCCCGAGGGGGGGGGGTTCCAGAAATCGTCCTCTATGACAGACCCAAGATGTTAAACAGTTTCACAATATAAATATCACAAAAGAAGAGGAGAAAAGAAAATGATTTCCCTGGCAGGGGGAGTTTGGGATGGGACTGGGATTCATAAACAAATCCTTAATATTTTTACCATTATGTATTTGTAAAAAAATATTGAACATTCAATAAGATCGTAAAAGATTTACTTCATACAGACATAAAAATATTTGGCACAAATCCATACATTTTCGTACACAAGTCAGTTTTATGACACTTTTTAATGAATTTAAAATGTTTTCTATTTGAACTACAAAATGTATGCAATAAAAAAAAATTTTAACAAAACTTATAACAAATAAACCTGCAGAAGATAATAAATTAGTAGAAACAAAATTAATAGACACAAAATCTAATTTTCTATATCTCCGCAACCTGATGCCAAAATTTGAAATATCTGAGGTTTACGCCATTGCAGGTTTCAAAGATTTAGGGTTCAGAAACTTAAAGTTTGTAGCTAGTAATTATTGCCTTTTGTCCTAAAAATGTCTAATACCTGCTGACTAAGGATTAGAGTGAAAAAGGCGTGGGAGGGGGGTATTAAATAGTAGAATTGGTGTCGAGTCCTGGTAATATTAGGGGTGGAGGATGTTAAATACTAGAATTTGTATTGTGGTGTGAGTAGGGGGAGGGGGTAGGAGAGGAGAGGGGAGGGGAT